AAAAAAATATTATTCATTTCGTCTATATCAAATATTGGAAATTAGATAACTTTAATACAGAATTTTTCATACATATTTTTTACTTCAAAACTTGATAAATTGATGAAGTGTAAACGAACTCATTCATTCATCTATATCTTCTTTTATTATTTTTTAAATTTTAATACATAATATTTGCAGTGTCAAATAACCATTTTACCTAAAATGATATCATTAACTGATTACTTTATTGAACATTTTCACAGGATAATGCAGCAAGCCAAGTTCGAAAGCAATTACCAATTAGAGTTTGTAAAATGATGCGGGACATTGTTGAAAAAAGGATAAATGAGCCATTTCGTACTATGTCAAAAGTAGTTCCACTTAGTAAATTATCTAATTTTGCGAAAAAAGCTATTAATAGCATCAAGTTGGCTGATTTACCGAAACATGTAAGTTTTAATTTTAATATTTAATTACAAAAATTCGATCACCTCTGCAATTATAGGTATCATTGCCAAACGAAGAGAGAGTACAGGAAAAAAAGGATTAACTTTACAAATATTCATTGAAATATTTAATAATTAATTTTAATTGTGGTCCGATATTGCTACTAGCATATATAATTTAAAATTTATATTACCGTTCATTACGCTTGATTTTGAATGTAAAAAATGCTATCATTTTTTGTAAGTTTAATATTTCAAATTGGAAATAATATATGCAAATTTGTTTTTACAAATATTCTATCTAAATTATTTCGACACAATATATTGTGATGCAAATATTTTATTTAAAAAATTTTTTGTTAAATTAAGATTAATGCAACAAACAAACAATTAATTTTCCAGTGTCGTATGCAACCGTGTAAGGAAAGAATTCATGATCATAAAACAATCACCCATTTTCCGACTTCAACAGCAAATTTGAATATATTATCTACCGATATTAAGTCTACATTTACCGCAAATGGTAATACAATAGATAATCGAAAATCATCAACGATACAAACGAAACATACAGATGTAAGTCATAAATTGAAGCATGGTGTAAGTATTACTATAAATACTAGTAATCTAATAATTGATTTAATGATAACATTTTTTCTTTGAATAAATTATGAAACAAAATGTTTTGAAATTTAGAATTGAAATAATCAATTAATGAAACAAATTATTTCTATAAAATAAAATTAAGATGGTGCTTTTTTAGTGTTCATAAAAATATGAAATGCTTAAAAACAAAATTTTAAGAAGAAAGTAGTTATTTAACAAATTTAATAAACAAACAAAAATAATTGAAAAAAATCTTGAAAAATTTTAGGAAAACTAATAAATTTGGCAATTAATTTAAAAATCAAAAAAAATCACTAAATAAATTGATAATATTAAGTAAAGTAAATAATTAATGTAATGATTATACTTCCAGAATATGCATAAAATAAGTGATACATCATCGACACATCAATTATCTTCAATACATACCAAAACATTACGTAATGTTACGTCATCACCGATTCTAGCAACGTCAGATATGGACGTACATCAAATGGATACGCTAAATTTTATAGATCCTTGCGCTAATTGCTATTCTAGCAATAAGTCAATTCCTATTAATAATTTGGATAATGTAAACAAATATATTGATGAGGCAGGTTTTTTTTATTTTAATAAAAAATAAATAAATCTTCAATTTTCAAAATAATTTTATTCTCTTTCAAAAAATTTCCAACTTCTCCGATGTTTTGCAATATTAGAATGATAATAATAGAAGGAAAAGGTTAAAATTAAATTTTAACCTTTTCCTTCTATTATTATCATTCTAATTTTTTTGCTATTCGGTTGAAATTTTTTCAAATTGATAATTTTTAAAATTTCCATTAAAAAATATTAGTTAAAATTGTGAATTGCTATCTATTTTATTCATAATTGAAATTTTTTTCAAAATGAGAGTTTATTCAAATTTCATCACAAATACTAATTAAAATTAACGCATGTTATTTTATCGGTTTATATAATTTTTTTTTCCTTTCTACAAATTTTATTATTTTCATTTTTTACCAAAATGATATTTATTCAAATATCTACCGGAAATATTAATTGAAATTTTATTTTAGATTTTACCCAATGTAGTGCTAAATATGCATTTAATTAAAGTATTTGCAACACCTGATTACTTTCAATTTGGCTTACGTGCAGCTTTTGGTTCGGATGGAAAAATGGATGATGCACCACTTAATCTATTTCCAATGCACTTTCCACAATTCTCTAATAAAAGTAACAAACGAATGTTGGATGTATTAATCAGCGATTACACAATTAACTCACTCTTATATCATATGCATAAGTTATTATTAAATTTAATAATTATTCAAATACGTATTGGTA